AATTCAAAGAATGAACCCCCAGCAGGAAGGCTGAGTGTGGAATTGGAAGAACTTGGCAGTGTGCTTTTATTTGGCTTCAGTTCTTGTGCTCTTTTAAGAATTAAAGCACACATAAAAGTACTTGGGATGAGTATGCTGAAAAGTTGAGAGGCAGAGGTGTTTTGTTTCCTGCCAGCCGTGAATTTGTTCTTTCCTAATCATCTGAGAAACACCCATGTGTTCTTCATAATTACGTATTTCTGACGTTTACACACACCTCTCTCTTTCTGTCATGTGTCCGTAGGATCTTTTCTCATCCAAACATTCTGCCTGTTCTTGGGGCCTGTCAGTCACCTCCATCCCCTCACCCCATCATCATTACCCACTACATGCCATATGGATCCCTCTTCAACATTCTGCACCAGGGCACTAGTAAGTTAAATGTGTTTATGTGCATGTGTAAAATGATAATTGCTGAAATTTGAATTTAAGTTTATTCCAGCTCCAAAGCACTAGATGGAAGACTTTGCAAACCTGTCCACGCCCCACTGTACTTCTTACTTTCCCCTCCTGTCCACCTCTTCCTCAGCTCTGGTGGTCGACCAAAGCCAAGCGGTGAAGTTTGCATTGGACATTGCCAGTGGGATGGCTTTCCTCCATACCTTAGAACCAATGGTGTCACGACTTTACCTCAACAGCAAGCATGTCATGGTAAGACACCACTCGACTGTGCCGTATAAACCAACTGCTATTATAAACTAAAAGGTTTTAGTCCGTTACCGCCAGTATGCTTACACACAATTAAATGGGACCTATAGTGCTTTTCGTTATTTTATGTCGTGTATAAAATGTTATAATGTCGGATGTTCATATATTAAACGTGGCCAAAGTTTCAAATAACTGAGGTAAATGTATGCAACAGTGATCCCTGTGAGCAAAACCTCAGGCTTCAGACTGTTCTCAATACTCTGATGATTCCAACATATTTTTCTACTTTGAGACAAGCTGACGTCAACCTGTGATGGATTTCTTTCTACAGTCATCTGCACCAGGCATGCTACTGCAAGTTTTTACATTGCACACATGTCAGGAAAACATGTAATCTTGGTTGCCTGTGTTGTTAATTTCTCTCCAATTTCAGATTATATTCCTGATGGAACATTTTCCAGTTGTGTTTAAAGGCTTTTATTGGTGATTTTTCATGTAAGAAAGTGCTGTTATACTGTGTTGTCTCATTCCCCGGCTGCAACGACAGTGCAGGGAGCCCGTGAGAGAAGTTAGCCTTCTTTCTGGCAGAAATCTTTTCAATTAAGCCCAAACCATGATCTTTTTCCTACACCTAACCAAGACAGAGCTTTCTAGTAGAAAGCCCTGAAGGCAAACTTCTGCCGACAGCATGCAGAGACGTGGATCTACCGAAGACTTGGAAACGCTGACCAAATAGAGCAGACTGGGCTTCTCAAGAGGGGGGCTTAAAGAGACAGATGCTAAAACAGAATGTCTCAGACAGAGGGGGAATACTGTGACCATGAAAGCATGTAAACATGTTTTAGTTTGTAGATAGCTTAACTACAAATATGCCAAATATACCTGAAAATGAGCATAACAGGTCCCCTTTAAGGTGATCCGTTGACAAGCCAGATATCTGATGAGTAACAAGCTGATGGGGTTCATTTCCAGATTGATGAGGACATGACAGCCAGAATAAGCATGGCAGATGCTAAGTTCTCCTTCCAGTGTCCTGGTCGTATGTACTCTCCAGCATGGATGGCCCCTGAAGGTATTTATTCCTTTTTTTTCCTCCCTTCAGCCTACTTCCTCCCCCCATAATGCCTCCTCAGTCTTTATGAGTCATTTAGTGAGGAACATACTGTACTGTGTAATTTGGTCTCAGTTTAGTGGTAGTCATCTGGTGTGTTGCCCGTGTTACCGATTAAAAACAAACCAACAAACGAGTTACCCTGTCATGTTTGTGGTTTTCCTTGTCCCTTAAGCCCTGCAGAAGAGGCCTGAGGACATCAACAGACGGTCTGCTGACATGTGGAGCTTCGCTGTGTTGCTGTGGGAGCTGGTCACCAGAGAGGTCCCGTTTGCTGACCTATCACACATGGAGATAGGCATGAAGGCAAGTGGGCGCAGTATTTATCTACCCCCAGGCTTGCACTTTGTATTCATGTCCACATCTCTGTAACCCTCGGAAATACACCACCATACCTAAAAAAAAAAATCTGAAGCACAGGTTGCTTTGTTTGGGATATTTACAGCAACTTTGTATCTCGCCTTCACCCATTCCTCAGGTGGCTCTCGAAGGTCTTCGGCCAACCATTCCACCGGGGATTTCCCCTCATATCTGTAAGCTGATGAGGCTGTGCATGAACGAAGACCCAGCCAAGAGACCCAAGTTTGACATGATCGTTCCCATCCTGGAGAAGATGCAAGACAAGTGAACGCCTTCGCAGCAATCTGTTGCAACACTTCTGTTGCCATGTTTTTAATCATCAAACCACTCTGTATCTTCACTTCATGTATCTGCTAAGCCACTGTAAATAATGTCAGAGACCACTTTCGCTACACGATCCAAACAATAAGTATTGTATTGCTTTTCTTGTATAATTTAAATTTGAGGTATAAATGTTCTTTAGCCTATGGGCTCTTTTATTGTGGCTGAAACATGTTCACTGAAATATTGGCAATTTTTTTAATCCAGTGTGGATTATATTCAGTGACAGAAACTGATCCAAAGAACTGTGTATAGGAACCATAATTTTATACACATGAACAAACGCAAATGCAATAAATGTTTTATATTTATGACAAGTTCTTGTTCTTTTATTTTGAGACTGCATTAGGGTTGGGCAATATATTGGTAATGTATCAATATTGTGATATGAGACTAGATATCGCTGCAGATTTTAGATTTAGTAATACCACAAGTGTTTTCTTTTCCTGGTTTTAAGTGATGTAATTTTCTGAACTTACCACTTAGTCATTATATCCACATTGCTGATGATTATCAAAAAATCTCATTTTGTAAATATGAAAGCATCAATGGTCAGCCCTGCAGTATCATTGTGATATTGAGGTATTTGATCGAAAATATTGTGTCTTGAACAGGTCTGAAAAGCATTAAATTTAACTGTATGATACCTGTAGGCATCCTGACAAGGTCTGCTTGCTGGAAAGTTTTCAGCCAAATTCAGTGGATGGAGTTGTCTGCTGAGCGAACTTTCTTTTCAGATGAAGGCCACTAGATGGTGCTGAAAGTTGTATAAAACTTAGCAGTAAGTGGACTCTGTGCTGGATTTTTTTAAATTTATATTTCTGAGGTCAAAAATAAAGCTTAGACTCAGCTCAGAGGATGTGGTCACAGATTCCAACGGAAATGTGTGATTTTATAGCTTTGTGGGATTCTTTGCCTTATTTTGATGCAGTGTGAGTCAGGCATGTACAACAGCAAATTAAATCTGATGGATTTTCTTCAGATGCAGCAGGCTATATTATTCTTTATATTTCATTTATTATATATTTAAATATATATTCTATTTATTCTGCAGTATTGGAGTGGGCGTAACTTGGGTTTATGATGGGAATTTAGTTTGATAAATTGTTTTTGGACTAAGCTACAGTGTAACTGGTGCAGCATTAACCTTTTAAATTCTGGAGCGACTTCACTTTTAGTAAAGTATTTAAACCTTTGAATCCTGAGCAAATTGGTTTGATTTCTTTCATAAAAATGTCGGGGAAAAGCGATGAGCAACTTGGCAAGAAATGTGCTGTAAAGTGCAAGAAGTTGGTAGATTTGTAAATTATTATTTTTTTTAAAGCTATGGGAAAAAATGTGCACAAAACTGTATATTTATCATAAATATTCTTTTTAATTATGTTATACATTCTTTATTATTTTTAAGAACCTTTTCAAGTAATTTCCTTGTTTGTTTTTTGCTAATTTTCAGGTTATTTTTTGTCAGTTTTTTTTTCTAATTTCATGCTATTTTTGGGCCATTTCTTCTTTAGTTGCTCATTGCATTCTTCCCATGTTTTGAAAGAAATTTATGATGGGAATTAACAGTTTGATAAATTGTTTTGGTTTTTTTTGACTAAGCTACAGTGTAAGTGGTGCAGGATCAACCTTTTGAAATATAATTACCATAAATGTATTTTTAAAATTATTTGACAACAAACATTTTTAAGCACTTTTTTTCAGGTCATTATCTTGTTTTTATTTTATTTTATGTATCCATTTTTATTTCTATTTCGTTTATTTATTATTTATTTATTTGCAAATTTTAAGTTTTTTGTTTGTTTGTTTGTTTTTTATTTTATTTTATTTTTAGTTATTTTTTTTCTCATTTCTTCCTAAGTTGCTCATTGCCTTCTTTCCAAAGAAATCAAGCCACTTTGCTCAGGTGTCATACAGTTAATGAAGCTCCTGCTGTGAAAGCACACACATAAAGCATGCTGGCCAGATAGGGGAGATAAAAATCTGTCAGATCGATGCACTCTTCAAAGATCAACCAGCTGCAGCTCATGTCACAATTTGTTCTGAACAAAAGAGGGGAAAAAAAGTTGTGGCACGTGACGAGTCAGCTGACTGTCTGCGCCTTTCACAAGACCGAGCCGAGCAGAGGAGACACTCACACCATAACATCTGTTAGCAGAGTGCTGCCGACCGACGAGCCTTCAACAGCTCTAGTCTACCTTTGTTTTGTACACTTTGTGGACGAGGAAGCGGGACTCTCTTGAACCTCCTGCCCTGCCTGTGTCCACCTCACCTGGGGAAGACGACGACGACGACGACGACACTCCGGTCTGCACTTTTTGGGAGGTACTGGCAAAACACCAGCTAGCTAGCTACATTGTTAGCAGCCTGTTATCCGGCGTTGTGTCGATACCCCTTTAAATTTGCCTGTGGGTGCAGCATGAGACTCATACTCTCAAGTTAAGGGGTTAAACTGCACCGCTGAGTGTTACTTTCATTTTGTCCTGGTTCTTGTCCCTCACAGAGGCTGCAGACGAAGACAATGAGGCTCCCCTCGCTGCTGGGGCTGATAACCTGCACCCTGGTGTTAATGATGTTTGGGTCCTGCCGTCCAGCACCGACCTCAGAGCAGCCCAGGATGGTGTTCATGGAGCAGTTTAGTCTTCCAGGGGTCGGGTTCAACTGGAGAAATGTTACCTGCCCCCTGTGCAAAGCACTCTTCACCATCGTTGATATCGCCCTTCTGGTAAGGTTTTAACATGTCTCGTACTCAGGCTACTAAAGAGGATATTGGAATATACATGTATCATTAGCAAGGTATTTTTATAGACTCAGTTGCCAGTTTAGTAGGCACACCTTGCTAAAACCAGTAGAGCAATCCTGCTGTAAATCCCACCCCTGTTCAGTGATGATTTTTATGGTTACTCTGCAGGTGTTTTAACCATCTGAAATTTTGTCCACCCTAGTTTATATAAGCATGTTAAATTACAGCTCTCAGTATGACACAAAACAATGCAACAGCACCACAATCTGCAGCCTCCAAAATAAACACCTTAATCAGTGTAGCAAAAACTGAAATTAAACCGGAGTCAAGATAAACTGTAGTGTCAGAGTCCTAATATATAATAATGGTAAATGAAAGATTAATGTTTTTAAATGCATCAAAATGTTGTTCCCGTAATTAGTTTGCGTGCGTCTGTTCTTTTTATAACCAGGCAAATATGTCTGACCTCCTGTTTACCGAAGTATGGGGGAAATGGTTGCACGAACTTCCTTGTCAGATGTCACGGATATTTGTAGCTTCTCTCAGTTTGGAAATATTGAATTTAATATAATTTATTTATTAAAGGATTAAGATATGAGCACGGTTAGTCTGGTAAGATGATAATATGACCAGAATCCTGTTGCTCAGTGCAGACAGACTACTTAGAAGATTAATTTATATGGGGTTACTCAAGTTTGCAAACGAAAGTGACACGCAGCACCAATACTTCCATATGGGGAAAGTCCAGTTCTTCCTCTGCCCCTTGAAGAAGTGAGAAATGGGATTTCTTTTTATATCTCCTGGTGTTCATAGCTGATTTTAGCACAAACGCATTCTTGAGATTTCTTGATCATATGGTCTCTTTGTCGACCTCAAGTGCTCCTGTCATCCAGCAGCTGCAGCTGTTGACCTTAAAAAACATGCTTTCAAAATTGGCCAGATTCATGTTCATTCAAATCAGAAGTGTAAATATTACACTTCAGTGCTGCACGCATCCAAGCGTGTGACTTGTCCATAATGTCAAGTGTTACATTGTGGTCTAGTAAGTTGGAATTTTAGATGATTCAGTTCAGTTTCAGCTTGGCTCATTTTTCAGGAAGTTTGAGGTTTTGACATCGGTGAGTAAAAGCTCTTGACAAAGGCCCCTTCAGGTTTACTGTTACATTTACTTGTGCTGTCACACCTCTAACCTCATCCTGCTCTGCCTTTGTTACCTCTTCTAGAGTGACGTAAATGAAGAGCGAGTAGCACATGCAGTTGGTGAGGCATGTATCCGTCTCCATCTGGCTGATGAGCAAGTGTGTCGAGAAATAACAGAGTTGTTCAGGGCAGACTTCATCCGGGCTCTGCAGCAGTCCTTACTGTGGCCCAGTGAAGCGTGCGCCCTGCTGGTGGGCCCTTCCTGCGGCAAATTTGACATCTACGACCCCTGGAACATCACCCTGCCAAAGGTCCCTAAGCCCCCTGTCACACCACCTTCTCTTCCCAAACCTGGTTCTCCACAGAGCAGGGTCCTGTTTCTAACAGACATCCACTGGGACCAGGTGAGTGTTATCCGTCTAAAAATCTGTCTGTTTAGCTGAAAGTAAAGTTACCATTTTCCTGGGACATTTGTAGTGACTAAGCAGAAGATGCTAGGAGGATTTTGGTCACCTGACTTTGTTTTGGATCAAGCCCTGCTTCTAAAAATAATCCCCTCCCTACAGGAGTATGTAGTCGGCAGCGCAGCAGACTGCAAGGCCCCTCTGTGTTGTCGCAAAGACTCAGGCTCCCCCAGCTGGAGGCGGAGGGAGGCTGGGTACTGGGGAACCTACAGTAAGTGTGACCTGCCTCGGTGGACGGTGGAAAACCTCCTGGAGAATGCTGCCAGAGACGGACCCTGGGACTGGGTCTACTGGACTGGAGACATACCAGCACACAATGTTTGGGCTCAGACCAGGAAACAGCAGCTGTCTGAGCTTACAACTATCTCCAGGCTCATCCATAAGTAATTTCTCTTTAGGATTTACATAAGATAAACATTATTGCTCCTTTCACACGCAACATAATGGGCATGCGGTCTAACTATTAGTGCAGATAACTTAACCATTCAGCCATCAGAGTATTTTTTTAATAGAATAATTTGTGTAACATGGTTTTGAAATGTTAGAACATTGATATTATTAGAATTTCTGGATAATGCAGTTGCCCTAATTTAACTTCAAACTGGTCTTGTTCTCGGACTCGAAACATAACTGTTTCTGCGGCTGCTTTGGTCATATGTTTGTCATGTGTTGCCTGATCCAAACAGCTTTTGATTCTTCCTCTTATCTTCTGTCCAGATACCTGGGAGCAAATGTGACAGTTTACCCTGCTGTAGGGAACCACGAGAGTACACCTGTAAACAGCTTCCCGCCACCCTTTGTTCATGGCAACAGGTCCAGCGCCTGGCTCTACAACACCATGGCAGAGGAATGGGCACCATGGTTACCAGAGCAGGCTTTACAGACTTTGAGGTTTTTGATAGTCTTGTTTTTATCATATTTAAGTGGTTATTGCATGTTGACATTGTTGTGCAGGTCGGGCCACCCTGCAGATAAGACGTAAGCTCTGTTGTTAAAGAGTAACATCACGCAACGGCTTTGTGTTAGATTATAAAGTAGGAACTGTTTATGTCACATGTTTGCTCTTGTAGTTTTACTTTGGTTGACGTTCACATCCCTCTGCTTTGCAAACAGAAGTGGTCACATTTCTCTGAATATTGTTCCCTATCAAGAGGGTTTGGAATTTTGATGGGTGCCTGCGAGGGTGATTTTGACTTTCTGAATCCTTGACCTATGTCTTTGGATGTCATTTCAGATATGGAGGATTCTACACAGTGGAAATTCAGCCTGGTCTGAGGGTGGTCTCTCTGAACATGAACTTTTGTGCTCGAGAAAACTTTTGGCTGATGGTGAACTCTACAGATCCTGCTAACCAGCTGCAGTGGCTGGTCCATATTCTCCAGGAAAGTGAGGACAAGGGGGAGAAGGTGAGTGGGCTATTTAGGTAGCTTAAAGGGATAGTTTGAATCATTTATAAGTGGGAAACATGTGAGGTAGTTATCTATAGTAAGTAGGGATGCACCGAAATGAAAATTTGTGGCCGAAGCCGAATAATAAACGCTTGGTCGGATACCGAGATTAGTGTTGTCAGGGTACCAAAATTGGGACCCACGTTACGATACCAGTGAAAGTATCACGGTTCTGAGTAGTATCACTATACCACAGCAAAAATGAGGCAGATGTGCCTTTTGTCATTTATAAAAAGATAAATCACTTTTCTATAATACATCAATGATATTTCAATGGAATAAATTACTTATTGACTTATTCAAACTTCAAAAACAGCATCAATAAGTGATGAACATAGGGGGATCAAAATAAATAAGTGAAATAAAAAGCAACCAGCCACCCTCCTCCCCTGACAAGTCCCTTCATAAGTAAAGAACAGTCCCTAAAGTGTGGTGAGGTTTGTGGACTGTTACCTGCCACTGAAAGACTAAAAGAGAGAAATGCGAATGGCTCGTTTCTCCTCGGATACGCCACATACTGTGTGCCGCCATGGCTCAGCTGTTCAGGTACTTTTGGGCATTCATGACAATAAGTTATTCACCTAGAGCTGGTCTTCTCCGTCGCCGGTAAGCCGTTATCATGTGCCACTGTATTTGACAGGAATACGTATTCCTGTCCGTGTCTGTGACCCCCGTTCAACCCACAACCGGCGGGATTTGCCGTTTTGTTTCTGCTGCTGGTTGAAGTCTGTACTCGCACAGCATGCTAAATGATTTATTTTGCCCACACAAAACTATTTTTAGTCGCAAATGCGAGTGCGGTGATGGACGGAGTAAAATATCGCCACACTGCCGACATTTTACTCCGTCCCTCACTGCACGCTGTTTGATTGCGTTATCAAAACACGCCGCTATTATTCGGCCTTGCTTTTCACTTATTCCACTGCATACCAAATCTGTGTTTGGTTTTTTTTTTTTTTTTTTGCAATATCCGGAACTGGAATATATTCGGTTACCGAATATTAGGTGCATCCCTAAAAGTGTCTTACATACAGTAGACATCGGTTTGCATGTACCCTGTTTGGAGAAGCTGGCATGAGTACCGAAACAGAAGCTAAGGAATGTACAACTCTTTATGTAATTTAGCCCCCTAAACAATGTCCCACTAAAAATCAGTTTAAGTGCATGCTATATTTGGGAATATTTTCACAGCTTTACCTTGCCATCACACAGCGATTTCCGATGGGTAACTGAAGCCATTGCATCACTCTCTTTAAAGCCAGACTCTTCTGAGAAAAACAGTAATTTGATATTACTAAACACAGGAGCTGCTGATTCACTGCTGCTTTGACCAATTAGTTTGTTTGTGTTATTGTGTGACTTTGGCATTTAAAAGGATTAATACAGAATCACCAACGTCACACAATAACACAAATTAACAGATGCAACGGTAGACCAGCAGCTCCTGTGTTTAGCGAGCTAAAATGACTGTTTTTATCAGTGGAGTCTGATAATTTTGAAAAGAGCATAGATGAGGAAGTAAACTGTAAATTGGTTTCCCTGTCTGAAATGGATGTCTGAAGGTAAGGTAAAGCAGTATTCTCAATGTACCATATGCTTGGCTTAAATATGTTTTGCTGCTGCCCCTGTCCACAGCCGTACATCACTTAGCTTCCGTGGCGGTACTCCTGTCTGCTTCCCAAAACTGAAGGAATGCCCATTGGCTGTAAAACATAATGGACATAGCTCCTGTGCATCACCCATTGGTTTGTTGACTCTCATTTTAAAGCTTCAAGTTTGGAGTGAGGGGTGGTTATGACTGAGAAGCTGAGGACAATGTCTACAGACAGCCTGTCACTCAAAGTGGCCCACTCTTGATAATGACTATAATTTTAAGCCTTAACAAAATGTAAATGGGTGACTCATATAAAAATTCACCCCCATACAGTTGTCATGAAGAGGGAGATTAGCTACAGATACCAAAACTGTTGTCTACAAGTACAAAAAAAATCAAGATTCAAGAGGCTTTATTATCAATTCTGCAGTTATGTAACAGGCATACAGAGAATCAGAACAACATTTCACTTTGAATTGATCCACGGTGCAGACAGTGCAAGAGGATACGTTTAAAATAGAAGAGGTAATACAAAATGAAAATAAATAAGAGCAGACATTGCAAAGCTAATAAAACACTTACTGTGGAATCAATGAGGCTCAGGTTCATGTCCCACCTTAGCCACGTGCTTCATTCTGGATGTGGATAATGACTCTATGGCTTTCTTGTTTTACTTCCCTTTTATCACTGGAACTGAACATGCGATTGCAATAAAATGTTTGTTTATTGGTGCAATAATGTTCTTCTATGTGGTGTCATTTCCTCCTTAATTTAGGTACATATCATTGGTCACATTCCACCTGGCCTGTGTCTTGGCAGCTGGAGCTGGAACTACTATCACATTGTCAACAGGTAGCAACATTAATCACATAAAACAAAAAAATGCAAAACCCCACAACTGTTAGAAATTGTTGTAGTGCAGTTGCAGTACATCTTTTTTAGAGGACATGAAGTTATGTACACTCAGCAGTGAATTTAATAAGTAACACTAATGTCCCCAATGTCAGTTCATAGCTGCTGTCTATTGTGCAGTAGCTGTCATATATTTTAAGTGCAATGCCAGTATATGGTAAATCTACCCAGATTATCTGTAGTCAAATAAGCTTGTGGTTGACTTATTACCAGCAACACGTGTTTCACTTCCTCTTCGTTTGCATGGCTGGATCAGATGTCTTTAGATAGATGCTTGTGTGGTTTTGTGAGTCCACTTAAATGTAGATACAAGTTGTTTTGCTTTTAATTTAAAGGTCAGTGACCTACTGTGGTTAAAGTAGCTGCATGCAACAGTCTGACCTTTTGCAAAAAGACATGAGACTAGTTGTAAAGTTTTCTCTTTTTGTTTGATATCCCATTTTTCCCAGATATGAAAGTACAATTACCGGACAGTTTTTTGGCCACACACACATGGATGAGTTCCAAATGTTTTATGATGAGGAAACAATGACCCGCCCGTTGGGAGTGGCATTCATTGCTCCCAGTGTCACTACTTACGTTAATCTTAACCCAGGTGAGTTCATAAACAAGTTGAGTGTTCTCCCAACATTTTCAGAAGCAGCACACAGTGAAAAAATTGTAATCCTTTTTCTTGTTCCAGGTTTCCGAGTCTACTATGTGGATGGGAATTACCAAGGCAGCTCTCGGCTGGTGCTTGACCATGAAACCTACATCCTGAATCTCACAGAGGTAAACCACAGTCCAGGAGATCCACGTGGCCCGGAGCAGAACCCCAAGTGGACACTGCTGTACCGCGCCACAGAGGCTTATGGTCTGACCAGTCTGTTCCCCTCCGACTACAACGGGCTGATGCAGACCTTTATAAAAGATGACCGGGTCTTCCAAAAGTTCTGGTACCTCAGACATAAAGGACATGTGTCAGAGCCCTGCAAAGAGACATGCAAAACTACACTGCTCTGCTTTCTGCAAAGCGGGCGGTATGATGAGCTGGAGCAGTGTGACCTACTCCACGGTTTTGGAGGGAACTTGGCCCGGGCTGCCAGAAAAACCCTCTGTTGATCTGAGGAAGTTTGGACTGAATGTGTGGGTGAGGAAAAAGCAATATGACCAAAAAAAAATGAAATTGAGCCGAAAAAATGTGTCTTTCTTGTTACTAGTTGGTCAACAAGGACTGTTGAATTTGTTCAATGACAAAGTCCCCTAAGCTATTACTCATTACTTTTGACAGTTGGCTGACTTTGTGAACCTGACATTGAGTCTGAAGAGTTCTGTTATACCTTGTGGTTGCTCAAACATCTGACTGTGATTGTAACAGGCCTTTGGTTTGTCAACTGCTGTTCTGCAACACCAGTTTCGCAAAGACTTCTCTGTTTACTTGAAATGCACAGTATTGCAGGAGTTGTGTAGTTTGATCAATGTGGTCATGGTTTTGGCAGTTCTACTGAAATGGGTGCCTTGTATCTGGAAAAATGATGCTAAACATATCTATGCTAAACAATCTTGCAACTTTAAAATGCTGTTGTGCACAGAATAGCTAGCACCCAGTCTCAAAATTATTCTTGATGTTAACATCCTTCAAATTGAGCTTCATAACATCCGAAGACTGATTTAAATTTATTTTAAAGCCGGAAGTTTAAGCATTATAATTGATGATCTCTTAGTGTAGGCCTGTCCCACAGTGCAGTGTTATCATTACATTTTCCGGGATTTGAAGGTTGTAAAGCAAATCAGTAAGCCTTTTACTTCATTAAATGTGGTGGATTAATGGATCTCAGGCATCACTTTTGGCTTATGTGAATTTGCTTCGCAGCACACAGTATCTTCGCTCAATCATTTTGTCTTGGGACTTTTGACTGAGATATAGGTCACTTGATTACTAACCTTAATTCGCTGCACCATCTGCCTCAGCATAGATGTCTTCAAACCTAAATAAGGAACAGTATTTCTCATTGAGGTTTACTTCTGTCTGCACTTTAATTCTTTGTTAGCTAGTCAATGTCATGGTTTGGTGGACCCAAAGTGTGACGAGCATGGGAAGGCTCTTAGATCTTGGTCTATGCGACTTGTGGCGTAACATGAGCATAACTTGTAATTAAACTTGTAAAATAAGAAATGATTTAGAGAGAATGTGTAAATTATGAATAAAAGATGAAATCTGATACATGTCTGCTTGTTTTGTGTTTGCTGAGAGGGAAAGATATTTTGAAAGAAAAGGTTTTGTGGCAATACATTAGTTAAATTAAAATACCAAAAGTCATGTCAACAGATGACCAATAATGCTTTTGATTCAAAATTGGCATTGTGATATTCAAACCTAATATAGCTGTGTAGCATATTTACAGATGTATGCAACTCACAGGGCTCGGAATAGCTTTTTTCTGTGTGCATGTAACTTCTAAATTACATGCATCAAAATGATTTTACCTGCACTACATTTTGTTTACAGCACCATCTGGTGTATTTTTCCTTTTGTTCGTGCTTGCCTCTCATCACTTTGGCATTATAGGTTATACATTTGTTTTTCACTGGGTTAGAAAATGGACGTCTCATGGCCAGTGCATCAGAGTTGGCAGCCCTGCACAACGTATTTTCTGCACCCAGTCAAGTACACTGGTGCATTTTGAGCTGAGAACTATGTGCACACGTCAAATTCTATGTGCGTTACCATGCATATGCATGAGGTATTTCGAGTCGTGACTCGTGCAGTAGGTGCATCATTGACTTACAATACTCATGAGTCACTCCCTTTTAAATAAAGTGGAACCATAAGAGAATAGGCCTGCAGCCTCAAATTATAGTTTAAGATAGAGCTGTCATTTCTGTTCTATAAGCCACCATGAGCACATTTGTGGGCACCTCTGTTTCTCGTGTGTCACCCTGTGTTCTGGTAAACCGCTTCACCTCAGTGAGTACATTTCCATCTGCTTTCCTTCACTAATAAACCACAGTGCATACATATATTCGGGCAGCACCTAAACATGGTACATTAGAAGAAAAAGAAGGCTTAGAATTGACTTAATGTATCAGGGGAGAAGAATTAATAATGGCACTGGGAAATAGTTCAAGACTCAAGAAATGGACTGTGTTAAAGACAAACCTTTCAACATTATTATTTCATCAGGAGTAAATGTTTCTCTGATTCTATTTCAGATTTCTTATTCTATTTTTGGACACCCAAAAGAGTCACGAAGCATACAGACATCACATTATTTAATTCTTCACATATCTCTCCATTGTAAATTTCACTTTAGGTGCCATGACTCATCAGAGCAACGCTGCAGCCTACATGATTTGACCCGGTGAGCAACCACACTGGTCTCAAGATCATACATGTGAACTTATCATTTTGTGCCTCCCTTTAACTTTGACACCAAACTCTCATTCAGTTCTTGAGTTAGTGTTCAAACTACCAATTTCTGCTCACCATCCATCATTCAAGGTACAACTGTAACAAGCCACTTAGTTGTTCTAAAGGGCTTTTATTATGGGTCTGAGAAGAACATAGTGACACCAAAGTCCTCCTTGTACAGGTCCCAGGTTTTCGGTTTGTGTGGGTTGTCCAGCTCTTCCCTGGATAGAAACAGCCTGTGGAGAGTTTCACAATCAATACTGATGTCAAAAGAAAATATGAAAACTTTTGAGTCAGGAGCTAAAGGAATGATGTATCAGACACATACTTGTTATCCTCTATGAAGGAGGTATTGAACCAGAAGTAGAACGGGACATCCTCGTATCCTTTTGGAAGACCCTAAGGGGAATGATGAAATAAAGTGAATTATAGGACAATCAGGCCAAACACCAGCTTTACTCTCATATGTAGTTACAAGGGGAAATTGTAAGCACTCACAGCACTCGATTCAAACATAACCTTCACGTCCCCATCAACCACAGGCCCATTCTGTAGGCTGATGACTGCTGCGTTGTTGCCCACATCAGGAAATACCTAAAAAAAAAAATAAAAAAAAACCTCATACATTCAACAAATGAATCCGTTTGACCTGATGAGTGCATGTGCAGAGAGTGTGTGAGACTTACTGTGCAGTTCTCCTGTTTGGCACACACACACAGAAACACCAGCTCTTTCCTCACAATTATCTTCACTTTGAGATCACTGCCATCACCTTTACCCACACCTGGGTGAGAGCACAAAAACCCCAACAGATATTAATGGACACAGCAATACTACAGATAAAGTTACATGTTGGAGTGCCCGGGGTTTTACCTGCTATGGAGTGGATGCGGATGCTCTTGATCCTGAGGCTTTTAGGTGGAGGCAGCTGTCTGTTGAACTTGGTCTTCATGACCTCATAGTACCCCACGTACCGGCTCTGTGGTTCAAAGACAGCATGTTCCAATACTGACTCAGTGTCTGAGGTTTCATGCTCATGCTTCTCATACTCATGGTCTCCACTGACAATCAATTCAATATGACTCAAACTGTGAGAACTGATCATAAGCTTATGGTAAGTATATGGTAAATGTGTGACACATTCTGTGTGTACATAATACAAATAAATATTAAATACGGTGTATATGGTAAATGATGATACTGCTAAGGATTGCAGTATCTTTAAAACCATTTTGATGGAATAATTCTTGTTTGTGGAAAAGTGAGCTGTCGTAGTTTAATTTTTCTTTGTACCACTGAGAGGCGCCAGTCACCTTCTTTCAATTTCCACACAAAGTCCTGAAATGTAGAGTTGCAACAATTCATTGATCACTTGTCAGCTACTGAAATTAATCACCACCTAATTTGACAATTGATTCAAGTTTTTTTTTTTTTGTCAAAATTCTTTGATTTCACCGTCTTAAATGTGAATATTTTCTGTTACTTTTGCTCCTCTTTGACAATGAACTGAATATCTTTGGGTTGAGGGCCTCATATTGGGCTTTGGAAAACACTGATCGACACTGATTTTTTAAAAACCAAACAACTAATCGAATGAGAAAATAACTGACAAATAAATCGACAATTAAAATAAACATTAGTTGCAGCCCTACTGAAATACTTAACGTTCTTAATTAATGCCTCTATTGAAAATAGTCTTTGTGGAGCGTTGGTGGCTTAGTGAATAGAGCAGGCGTCCCATGTACAAAGGCACTGCCTTGCTGCAGCGGCCGCAGGCTGGACTCCAGCCTGTGGCCCTTTGCTGCATGTAATTCCCCCACCCTCTCTCTCTCTCTCTCCCCATTTCACATTTTCCTGTCCATTAAAGGCAAAAGCCCAAAAAATAATCTTTAAAAAAATAGTCTTGTGTTGGTTTAGCCCCTGAGTGACTTGTTTATACCTGGGAGGGAGTCTCCACTCCCTGAAACTTGGAGCTCCGACTCTTGTCCGTCCTCCTCTCACCAAAATACTCCAGACTGTCCTGGTGGACAAACAGAAATCAATGTTAGTAAGTGTTTCAAACTGTTTGTGATCATTCATTAACTTTTGCTTGAGCAAATCTAACACGTACCTGTGCGCTCTCAAACTGGTCACTGTCTATTAACCAGGTGCACACCATAGTACCTGTGCGTCCTGTGACAGAGAGCAGTAGGGGGTAAACAAAGAGTGAAAGTTACATATTTTCTCTACAGAAAACTAATGTTCTTGTTCAACATAAATGATTCCCTAAAATGATAATCAAACAAGTTGGAATCTTTGGCATTACCTTTCCCTCCTTTACAGTGAATAGCGATGATGTTTTTGGGATCAGCAGACATCCAGTCCCTCACATTTGCTGTGTATTTCAGCATGTCCCTGAGAAAGACAGTATAACACACAATCATAAACACATTAAGATAAGCTGGCAAACTATTATACAACATGTAACAGTAGTTAGTGATACATCCTGTTTCTGTATGTGTTCATAATACTACTTACACAAACAGCGAAGGAGTGCTTTTTAAAATGCGGTAAGATAAACTTAATTGACACCACCACTGGAGAATTTAAGACTCATTTGCAAGCATTATGGTTGTGTGAATAATGCTAACATAATGTATCAATGTCATTACTATGATAACAAAAGGCCCCATTATGTAGCTATTATCTAAAGTGCTTCAGTATGATTACAAGCAAAAGGGAGAGGTAAAACAAAACATCACATGGAAAATGTTACTCACTCCAAGGAGGGGACATTGTGGTCATCAATGAACACCCGCTCAACCTTGTAGTGGAAGAACTGGGGGTCGTAGCCTTTCTCACCTGGAAACAAATGATGTTTGCATGGTTTGTGCAGTTATGCATAAAAAGGGTGTGCAGTGCATGTGACGAGAGGAGGTGTCAACTTACTGCACAGGTTGTAAACTTTATAGTGGCCTTCATGTTTAGTGTCTAAGAACCTGGCCACCTCCTGCAAAGACAGGGAGAAAAATATGTCAAAACACCTGCCTGCCTGTGTGTGTATATGTGTGTGTGTGTGTGTGTGTGTGTGTGTGTACTTGGGGGTCTGTGGGTCTATTGAAAGTTCCTTGTAAATATGGTGCCTATGAATGGACTTCATTATGAAACTGGCTAGTGTAATTAGATTTAAACTATCTACAGTGTATTCAGGTGGTGTAAGTCTTACCCTGATTGGATTCCTGTAGAATGACTGCTTCCCAGAGGAGGGGAAAGACATGGCGATGACACGGTCTAGCGAGGTGAGGAAAGATGCAAACAATTTTTTAGTCATCTCCACATATTTTCTGACATGCATGCATGGTGTTTTTTGTGTTATACAGCATGTACCTGTGACATAGGTTAGGTCAAGGTCAAATCCATCCTTCTGATAACGCCGCTTGTTCTCAGAAACCTGAGAAAAATAACAAGTCAATTATCAGGAACTAGTAGACATCTTCTCTCGTGATGCCTATCCCAGTTCCACACTGCAGCAATCCTCCAGACGATATTTACTAAATGAGCTATTCACAGTTTTCTATGCATCCTTGGTGACAATCTTACCATCCTCCTGGTGACCTTCTCCAGCTCTTTCCTCTGAGCTGCCAGTCTGAAAACCCGCACCAGGATTATTATTCTCAGGAAACGGAAAAATGACACCACCCTGATAAACAGAGAATGAAAAAAAATATATAATTATGAATCATTAAACAAATGCTAACATCTTAATCGCACTGACTATAATGTATTTAACATTAATATAAGATATACATATATATATATATATATATATGA